ACGCCGTGTTTACAGCATCGAGGACCATTACGGCCCCCATTTAGATAGAGTAGACTTTGTAAGAGAAGTGAGGATTCATTGCTGCTTCTTTGTTCTCTGTTGAAATTTCTACTCCCTCTTTTCTGACATGCAATCCTCTAGTTCTTCGGCTTCAACCAATGATCGTGTCATCTTGAATTTTTGGGTCTCAGTCTGTATTGGGTTGCAGAACTTAATTTGAGTTTCAAAACTCTAAGCCAAAAAACTTTGTATTTTTTTTATTCTCTTGCAATTAAATATGAAACTAGATCTCAACCCGCGCAACCGCGCGGTTATTTGTTTTCATTTATTTTTATATAAATATTTTTTTACTTCTAAAATGGTATATATTATAAAAGGTGTGTATATCAAAAATGATGAATTATTATGTAGTCTAGATTAATTATTGTTAGAAAATGATGATTTTGTTATTTTTAAAAATAAACTATATAATTTTTAAAGTTAACATTAATTTTTAAAGTTAACATCAAAAATATATAAATAATTAACTTATACTATTATAATATTAAATTATATACGTTTAATTTAAACATATATTTTGTTATAATATCTATAAATCCAATGGATCATCTAATTTTTATTAGTCCAATAAAATTTCTAAGTAAGTCCAATCCCCTATATATTAATTGAGAGACATTTGAAAAATTGTAACCTCAATTTTGTAATAATTAAAAAAGAGCACATGCTTACGTGTCACTCAATTAAGTAGTCAATTACATTCAATTGAAAAATAAGTAGGTCGACATTTGATTTTTATATGTCACTAGATATATTTGTTGGTCAAACTATATGATATGATATTTATGATAAGAGCATTTATGATTGTCCTGCTAGATATAATTACTATTTTACTTTCCTTAAATAAAAGCTACAGAATTACCATAAATGACAAATATATATATATATATATATATATATATATATAACAATTAATGTTTCTAATAATAAATATTTGATAACAATTTGTATCTCCTCCATCATTTTTCTTTAATTTTATATTATTAAAATAAATCAAACAATCAAATTAGCTATAAAATTAAACTTTAGATTTTTTTCCGTATATGTTATATTTTGAATTTAAAATAAACCAAGAATAAATGACTAAAACTATTAAAATTATTATGTTAAAAATTAATGATCAATAGTTTAATATTTTTATTATAAAAAGATACACATGATTTTAAAACCATATGAGTAAAAAGTATCATTCAATAATAATAATAATATATATATATATATATTAAACTATATACCATATAAGATTACATACTTATTTTAATTTCAAAAATTTCAATGAATTTTCAAGAACATTTATAAATTATAAACATATTAAATTTTTCACATTAAAATTTTTTGTTATCAATGATTTAAATATATTAGTTATTTTTTTTAAATTTTCTATTTTTAAAGATATTAACACAATCGATAATATGGTTATTTTGGTATATACCATACAAACCGAATGTATGTGATTTTATAAAAACCGTAAGATTTGGATATGGTTTGATTTATAATCGATTAAACTGAAAGATGTAAATATGTATATATATTTGCTACATGAGTTGAACTATAATTATGATTTGTAAATCATTTGAATCACTTGAAATATAATTAAGTAACAATTTAATGCAACTGAGGCTTCTTATTTTCTTCGTCTTTTTTTTTAATCTTTTTTTATTTTTTTAATAAAAAATAAATTGAAGTAAAAGTTATAAATTTGACGGAAAACAATTAGTTAAAATTCTTTACAATTTTTTTTAATCTTTAAACAAACAGAGTTGTGTTCAATCGAAGACATATTAATTTGATGAACACTAAATATGGAAGAATATAAAAACTTTTCTTTCATGCTTCTGTTTTGTTTTTTATTTTTATTTTCAAAATTTAGAGATTTGATATTAATTCTAGATTTGATCATTTTATTAGATCATAGAAGCCTTTTTTTTTGTTTTTTATTCTTTTAGTTAAATATATAATATTTTTTTAATAAATGACTTTTTGACAATATGACTCTAAATATGATCATATTATTTATTTTTTATAATATATCAAATGTTTTCAAATTAAATAGTGATGTATTTTGGTAGAAAATTGAATAAACTGAAAACCAATATATAAACCAAATTAAATTAAAGTAAATATGGATTTAGAATAGTAGTTATATTTTAATAACCAAAATACTGAAACCCGATATCCAGATTGAACATCCTTAATCTAGATGAAACCGAACTTTTGTTTCATTTTCCAAAACATAATAAAAATAATAACTTCATTCTGCGTAAGGCGCGGGTCTTATCCTAATAAATGTTATTAGTGAATCTAATGAATGTTATTAATGATTGAATAATGTAATGTCATAAATTCTATTAGATGGTCCATTTTAAAATATCATGCATGAAGTGAAGTCATGAATTCTCTTTTAATATATAAGATTAAGATAGAAAAAAAACAAGTTTTATTCTCTTGCAACTAAATATGAAATTAAGGCAGAAAAAAACAACAACTTAGCATGTATGTTAACTTTTGTAGGAAGGATCAATCCACCAACCCATAAGATCTGAAAAATATTTTTTTCTTCTTTTGCTTTATCAAAGAATATTATTCTGTACCATGTTTGTCAAATATTTATCTTATTTTTTTTTTTTGAACACCTGTCAAATATTTATCTATATTTGATATTCTACCCCTCCCCCCCCCCCTTGACTTTCCTTGTATATATTATTACTACTCAATTCATTAATAAAAAAATATTTATTTTCTTAAGTTCTTTCTTTTTGTCTGCTCTGTTGACGTAGTACCGGAAATGGTCTGGCTAGAGATTTTCCTTTTCCTCCTGTTCCTCACTTTTGTAGGAGAAACATCATCGTCAAGAGTGAGATATGTTCTTTCTTGACAACACTTTCATTCTTTTTTTCCTTCACAATTTCACTGACTTGTTTATTTTCTGGCAGGATCTGCCCAGGGCTTGTGAGCAAGTGCAATTCACGTCGAACAATATTGGAGATGGCACACCTCAGATTCTACTCCCTTGGAATCCTTCTTCTTGTCAGGAGATGCAGCTGATTGTGACAGGAGGTCAGCTAATCACAAGCTTTCTCTCTCTTGATCTTCCTTTCCCAAAATCCTANATTATATCTGTGTCGCCTTATGGCATTATCAAGGCAAAGAGGCCTGGCATAGCAAAAGTGATGGTGGTGTCGACTATTGAGCCGCAAAATTTTGATGAGGTAACACATAGGCTTTTCCATTTTTCCAACCAACTAGTCTTCATTCTTTCTTCTATCTATGAATAACTATGTTGATAGTTTAAGAAAGACGGAGATATTTATTTTATATTAAATTTCAAGAATTAAGTTTCAATCCAAATCTCGAAACTTTTTTTTTGGGGGGGGGGTTTATTATCGTGCTGTGCGTGTTACTGCTTTCAAGAGATTGTTTTTATTTTTCATTTCATAGATTTTTTTCAAAGTTCCGGTTCCACCCTCTATGGTTATGTGGCAAAATGTTCCGGTAGATACCGTTGTCGCATCACGTCTACAAATAGGCGTCACAGGTATTAACTATTAGACAAACTTATCTCCTTTTTATCATTTTAATGTATATTATGTGTTTCTATATGGTTAACGTGTATTTCTTTCTATTAGGTGCTCAAAATTTCGATACAACGCTACATAGAATTAGCACACATGCTGATTCTGTCCAGGAAACACTCTCATCGAGAAGATCTAGTACTTATCCATTGAAATTCAGGTCTGGGGACTAATTTTTTCTGTTCATTTTATCTATAAGGATACCTCAGCTTATGGTTGATTGATGTTTGAACAAAATACAACAGGAAAAACAAGTTTGTAGCTCTTGACAATGGAAAGAAAGCTACATTTGAATGCCACGTGAAACCTCCTGTTATAGGGTAAGCATAGTTGTATCCTCTTCATTTTAATGTATAACTACACTCAACAAAAATTTTAGTTGTACTCAATAGTTTCTGTACAGTAAATTTAGAAAATAATGTCAGATGGGAAAAAGTATATAAAATTAAAAATGCATGATTATCAACAGTGATGAAATGGAAGAGAATAGGAATCGTTCTGAATTTCTTTTTTGGCACCAAATAAAAATATGGCTAAAAACTTCAAACAAATATATCAATGATCTTCTTAGAAAATATATAATGTTCATCTTTGTTATCAAGTTAAAATATATATTCCACATTAAACTTTAGATTAAGTGTTATTTATATATATTTTCTAAGAAGATCAGATTTTATTTCTGTATTTCTTTATCATTTTATTACCT